AGTACACCTTGATTGGTAAGTTTTCTCATGGGATACCTCACTACAAAGTTATGGAGAAGTTTATTTACGATTTAAAGCCCCGCGGTTCCTTTGAGTTGCATAAATTGAATTATCGGCATGTGTTGATTCAATTCTCGGTATTAGATGATTATTCTTTGCTTTTGAGAAGATCGATATGCTATATTCATGGGCTGCCCATGCGTGTTTTTAAATATACTCCGGGCTTTAATTTGAAAAACGAAACTTCTATAGCGCCGGTCTGGGTTAATGTGCCGGGAGTTCCTCCTTATATGTACAACCGGGAAGCTATATTCTTCCTTGCTTCTTCTATTGGAAATCCACTTGAGTTTGATGATTTTACAGCCGATCGAAAGAAGATATCTGTTGCTCGATTTTGCGTCGAAATTGATCTCTTGAAACCGAGGGTTGAACAAATTCCGGTGATGACTGGCTATGATGATATTGAGATGATTTCCTTGCCGGGAAACTACGAGAACGTCCCAAAATTCTGCACGTTTTGTTCTCACCTGGGTCACTCGGTTGAAAATTGTTATATGAATGGAAATGCTAAAAAACCGGATTTTCCACCACCGCCACAACGGATTCCCAAACCCACAGCCCCACCAAAGGAAAAACAAGTTTGGCGACGAGTTGAAAAGAGGAAAAATGTTGTTGTTGAAAACATGGATATTCCTATAACATCGGGGACAAAATCAACTGAAAATCCTAGTTTTTCTCAAGCTATTGTGCGGACTACTGCCGATAATATTAGTGAAGGAGATTTTGAGCATTACAACCCCTTTGAATTGTTGAAGAGTGGGGTTCAAGAGGATATAGAGGCTGCTCATATTCAACCGGATGTTGCTTCCAAACATGTTCCAAAATCTTCGAAAAAGGGCCGAAAAAATACTTCTAACACCAAACAACCGATGAGTCCAGACCCTATAGATACTATTGCCGATGATCAAGCAGCTGATTTAGATGATATGGAGGCCTTATCCATGTCCAAAAAAAATCAGCATGTGTCTCCCTCCAAAAAGAACAGAAATCAAGCTTCTAGCTCCCGAACCGCAAAGGGGGCAGCCCTCTCAACCCCCTCTCTATCACCTTCAGCCACTTCGGTGGCCAAGGATGTTCCCCTTAATCATGGGGTACACGGACGAGAGGGGTCAGGACTTTCGGCGGGTACGGATCCGATTACACCTACGTCGGCTGCCTTATTTTGCGAACACTATGTGACCAAGGTCCGGCCCACGGCCGATCAAAATTTGGCCGGCACGCCTCCTTTCAATCACCTTGCCATGATCCCTTATGAGCCCGTGAGCCTAGCCACGAGCATACGCCCAGCTGATCACGCTACTCAAGGCTCTATCACTGATGAACCTTCGGCCTCGTGGTGATCGAGCCTAATTGATGCTGAGCCTTGGCGTTTGCAGAATGCCGAACGTTGGCATGCGGAGGAGGCCCACCTTATTGGTAACTCATTCTTCGTCACATCTCTGAAATCTTAAGATGGGTCGCATTCCCCCTCTTCTTGATGTCGGGTAAATTCTTGGTTTGGAATGCAAGGGGGGTAAAAAATAAGGCGACCCAATCCCACTTGCGCTTTATTTGTCGCCAACATAGAGTTAATTTATTGGTTATTTCTGAACCTATGACTGAGTTTGTGCATGATTACTATTGCCGTCGCTTGGGTTTCGTTGCTGGTTTGTCTAATTGTGCGGGGAAGATCTGGATTTTTTGGGATCACAATTTTCGAGTCGAGTTGCTTAGGGATGAGGTACAATTATTGCATGTCAGATGCATATCTGGTTTATTTGGTGCTCCTTTTGTATTTACTGCGGTCTATGCTAGATGCTCTCGTTCCGAGCGCCGTGTTTTGTGGAATTCGTTCCGCGACATTTTTGAGACGATTGGTGACACTCCTTGGATTTCTGGGGGCGGCTTCAACTCAATCTTGCTTGAGTCAGAACGGAATAGATCGGTTTCGGATAGGAGACTAGATATGGCTGAGTTTGGTGCTATGGTTTCGGATTGTGAACTTTCGGATGCCGGGTTCTCTGGGGCTAGTTCTTGCTATACTTGGGAGAGCCCTTCAGGTCTTTTGGAGCGTTTGGACAGGATTCTATATAACTCTGCTTGGCTAGATTTACTGCCTATTACGCAGGTTACCCTCTCACGGACCTGGTCGGATCATGCTCCTCTTTTGGTTTCATCGGCTGCTTCTTCGTCGAGGCCTCCTGCTTCATTCCGGTTTCAGCATATGTGGATCCGCCACGCTACGTTTCGTCAGATTGTGGAACAGGTTTGGGATTTTCCGTGTGCTCAGACGGGGATGCATCGATTACATACGAAGTTGAGACGATTGAAACAGAAGCTTCAGTGGTGGAATTGGAATGTTTTCGGGGACGTGTTCAAGAATAAAGAGAGGGCCGAGGCAGCTGTTCTAGAGGCCGAGCACATATATGACTTGGATCGATCCCCCGAGAATCGTGCAAATTTGAAAAAGGCCACTGCTGAACTTACTCTCATGCTCAATATTGAGGAGGACTTTTGGAAGCAGAAGGCAGCATGTAGATGGGCGACTGATGGAGAGAGGAACTCTAAGTTTTTCCACTCGTTAGTCAAGAAAAAGCGATGTGTCAATCGAATCCACTCTATCTCTCATGGTGATTTGGTTCACACATCAGCTCAGGAGATCAAGGATTCGGGCGTTGATTTCTTTAGCAAGCTTCTTACCGATGATATGCCTAGTTTGCTTCCGGTTGATGAGTCCCTATTTTCCGCTCCTCAAAGGGACTTTTCTTCAGTCTCTACTCGTCCGTCAGTTGAGGAGATCAAAGATGCGGTGTTTGGGATTTGTCGAGATAGTGCTTCGGGTCCTGATGGGTATTCTTCGCTATTTTATCAGCATTGTCGGGACTTGATTCAGTGTGATGTTTGTGAAGCGGTTTGGGATTTCTTCGAGGGTGGATCTATGCCTGCGAGCTTCACCGCTACCACCTTGGTTCTTATTCCAATGGTGGACTTTCCGACGGCTTGGACAGATTTCCGCCCGATTAGCTTGTGCAACGTGACCAATAAAGTTATCACCAAGGTACTTACGAACAGACTGGCACCTCACTTGCCCCACATTATTTCTCCTTCTCAGAGTGGGTTTGTTCAGGGTCGCCTCATTAGTGATAATATTTTATTAGCACAAGAGATGGTCCACTCGATATCAGTTCGTTGTCGAAATCCGAATCTTATTTTGAAGCTGGATATGGCAAAGGCTTATGATAGGGTTCAGTGGCGGTTCTTATTTCGTGTACTCGAGCTGATGGGTTTCTCGGCGAACTTGGTTGATATTATTCGGCGATGTGTTTCGTCGTGCCAGTTCTCTTTACTAATCAACGGGGAGCTGACGGGGTATTTCACTTCGTCTCGTGGTCTAAGGCAGGGAGATCCGCTCTCGCCGACTCTTTTTGTACTTGCGGCTGAGTATTTTTCGAGAGGTCTCGATGCACTATACAGCCGTTGCCCAAGCATGTTTTATTCTACAAGGGGAGGCATTCCTATATCCCATTTGGCCTATGCGGATGATGTGATGATATTTACCTCGTGCCATAATTTTGGACTGAAGAAGCTGCGGGATTTTCTCGATCATTACTGTCGCACTTCGGGTCAGTTGATTAGTGTGCACAAGAGCACTTTCACAGTTGATAGGGCATGTTCTGATGGTCATCTTCGCACTATTTCTCGGATTCTCAGTTATCCGAGAAAGGATCTTCCTATCATTTATCTTGGAGCACTATACAAAGGGAGGGACCGGGGCAGTTTGTTTCACACTTTGCTTGATCGCATGCAAGCCAGGATTTCGGGATGGGCTCGGACCGCTTTGGCTTTCAAGGGCCGTCTTGCCTTGATCCGGAGTATGCTTTCGACTATGGCTTTGCATCTTGTTCAGGTTATTCAACCTCCGCAGTACATAATTCAGCAGATTGAGCAGTGCATGGCCCGATTTCTCTGGGGATCTTATGGTAATCAGCGCCGGCCTAATTGGGTTGCTTGGGAGACGATTTGTCGGCCAGTTGGTGAGGGTGGCTTGGGGTTGAGGCGTTTGACGGATGTGATTGACGCCTTCACTTACAAGCTCTGGTTCCGATTCCGTGCTCAGGATTCTCTTTGGGCCCGTTTTCTCCGAAACAAGTATTGTCGGAATCGGTTCCCAGGTTCATCCGTTGTGTCTTCACTCTATAGCACGGTGTGGAAGCGCATGTGCCGTGTCCGAGAGCGTGTTCAAGCTCAAATATTTTGGCGGATTGGTCCAGGTCATGTTTATTTCTGGCACGACCACTGGTTTGGCGATGGTCCCCTTTCAGGCATTATTGATGGTGGTCGGCTAACGTCAGTTCGTGTGGAGTATTATTTGGTTAACGGTCAGTGGGATCGAAACAAGCTAGCTGAGGATATTCCTTTTGAGTGGATCGATAGGATTTGCTCGGTCCCAATCTCTGGTGCTTCGAGTGATTTGCCCATTTGGAGAGCTTCTTCGGATGGCAAGTTTTCCTTGACCTCGGCTTGGGCCTTGATACGACAGCAGCATACCCCTACCCCTCTTCTTTGTATATTTTGGGGATCTTGTCTTACTCCTACAATTTCTATCTTTCTTTGGCGTCTCCTTCTTCAGCGTCTTCCAGTGGATACCAAACTTCAGTCTCGAGGCACCTCTCTTGCCTCGAGGTGCTATTGTTGTCCAGATCCATCTATTCCTGTGTCGAGTCTTGTATCTCAGTCTGTCGAGTCTCCTTCTGTTGAGTCGATTGATCATATCTTCGTGGAGAGCCCGACGGCTAAGAGGGTATGGCATCATTTTTTCTATCTTTTTGGCTATACACCTGCACACACTACGCACATAC